GAAAGCCGTAAGTGCACAAAAAATGACATAGCTTTTTTCAAGACAACCGCAGGTGCATGAGAGCCAATGAAAACAGTGCTTTCCAGTAAAGTGCCGCCCTCTTCTGCCAATTTCTAACCTGAAAATGTGTTTGTTGTGCGTCCAAAACGCAACCACGAAAGCATGCAGAAAATAGCACTTACGGCTGTCTTGCCTAACAATAACCTAGCATGAAAATGAAAAATATCGACGGTGCAAGTCGGCAATCACATAACTCGTTTGCGGTGTCTGAAAATCTCCGCAACTATGTTATTTTTTTAAAGGAGAACAAAATAATGGACATGATTCCTTGCAGTTTTTGCAGAATTTTCCTCGCACATAGAAGAAAAGTCACGGCAGTTTTATGGAATTACCGTTGAGTAGTTTTCCGTTTAAGAAATAAAGTATGACAGGAAGTCTGCGACGTCGCAAATCGGGTTATGTGATTGCCGACTTTCACCGTCGAAGTCCTTTTTATGTAATGGAAATAAAATCATTCATACGATTTCTAGGAGTCTTCCGGACGAATAGTGGCAATTTGACAAAGAACGGAGGCTTCTTTCAATAAAATGTTCCGATCAGAAGCTTCTGAGCCCGTTTTCTCAGAACTTCATTTTTGCACTTACGGCTCTTTTCGCTATCACGGCAGCATTTGAAGGTCCACGTCCTCATCTCCGTCAAGGAATAACTAGCCACCGCTAAAAATTCCCCGTCAATACTAATTGGAAATGAGCATAGGAGTAACGTTCCGACGCGGCGCTGCTGCGCGCCATTATTTCAAGTCACGCTTCGAAGCCGGCGTATTGGCCGTGACTTTGGAGGCGAGCCCAGAATTCGCAACACATTATATGGGTCGGCCATTTGAATTGTAAATCCTCGGGTCCGACGGAAAATTTCGCGCTCGACTCAAACAATGCCACCTGTTGAGACCGCGATGAAAACAAACTTCGCCCGGTCAAAGCTCGGATTAATGAGGGGTTTAAGCGTGACGTCATGGATCGGGTGAGGGCGGGTCAGTCATAACCTCACAAAAAATTATTTTTAATCGCTTATTATTAGACGCTATGAGGTCTTAAAATCCATGAATGACTCTTCTCGAGGAAAGGGGCTCCATTCATAACGAAGGCAAAATTATTAGTGGAGCGATTTTTGATGAATTGGGGAAAAAAATTCGGATCATTAGATTTTGACGGGAAACTCCTTAAATGTCATAGGCATAAGTTGCAAGGGGTTTCGTTTGTCCTTGTCTTGATAGACTGATTTAGGAATGATAGGCTGCATTATAGGTAGTTCAATTGTAAACAAACACATAATCTTGTGGCCGTTCCTAAAGTATGTAACGTTTTTTCGGCATTCTTAACCTCCTCCTACCCCTTGAAACGCTTTTGTAACAGAGGGCCCCTATTCTTTATACGTGAAAACAAAATGGCGTACCGTTCTATTCGACTCTTTTCCCCCTCTTGTAACGCTTTTATAACGTATGTCCATATCCTTTAACACGTAAAAACAAAATGGCGTAACGTTCTCCTCGACCCCCTACCCCCCGTAATTTAGGGGCAGCCGGACAGCCCCTAACCTTACATGGGTAACTGGAAGGAATTTTAAGCGTGTGAACTAGACTTATATTAAAGTTTGCCCGATTTACAATGTAAAGCACCTGGACCTGGTATAGTTTACGGTGAGGTTTAATGATCCAATATGAATAGGGAATCATGAGGCTGTTAACATGGACCCAGCTCCAAACACGCTCACAACGGGGCCCGACGCTTCCTTCTCCAATTACCCACCCGGACCGACTTTGAAAGCACCGGAAGGATGCGTTCACGATGTTTTGATGACGCGTAGTGGCCCAACGCATTTTTAAACGTCCGAGACTAAATTATCATCCTTTCTAAAGATCCGACGTGTCATTAAACAACTCAATGAAAAAGATCCGAAGGGACACCCTGTCACAGATTGAGGGATAGAATGTAGACCCAGGAAGGGAACAAATTATTCGGCAAATAAGCACCGCTCATGGCGCAGGTCCTCTCGAGGTGCGCTACGCCGCG